GAAAACCAACAAGTCTTTCTTTTCCTCTCGCCTTCGCCTCCCTTACCAGGAAGGTCTTTCAGGGCGTGACGAGCTTTTTGAAAACGGTCTTTTGCATGATATAGGGGCAGATGCGGGAACCACAGAACCATGTTCAATTTTTCCTGAACGGCCCTCTGAATACCAGAAAAGGAGGTCCCTAGTTCGATTCCTCGTGGTAACAAATTTTTGCATTTCGAGTTGACGTGCCAAAATTCGCGCAAAATGGAGTTAGAACCAACCAGAACAATCAGAACTCCATTTTGCGCGAATTTTGGAACGTCAACTCGAAATGCAAAAATTTGTCACCAAGAGGAATCGAACTAGGGACCCCTTTTCTGGTATTCAGAGGGCCGTTCAGGAAAAATTAAACATGGTTCTGTGGTTCCCGCATCTGCCCCTATATCATGCAAAAGACCGTTTTCAAAAAGCTCGTCACGCCCTGAAAGACCTTCCTGGTTAGCCCTGGCCACCCACGTGATATTGCGAGGCGGTTGAACCTGTAATTTTCTGAACCTTCAAGGCAGGTGGAAGCCAAACGAACGAGAACCCAGGCATATAATAAAACAGAGAAATCAAAGCTAAAATGAAAATTGGCATAGAATGAAGCTTCCAGCTATGAAAAGGAAGCTGTGTTGATTTTTTTACATGTCTTGTTCTGTCTACTGCTGTTTCTAATGGTTTTTGCAGATCAAACGTGTGTTGACATGTTTGCTTGTCAGCTGCCGGGAAGCTTTAGCGCACCCTCTGTTTGAGAGACCAGAAGCGCTTTGAGTGCGGACCCCACACTACAATTGACGACAGTCTTATAGTAAATCTAGCGAACTAGTAGTTCAGAGTAGTGATCGATAGGTATAAGGGGTGTTGTGATTACTGATACTGATAGAATAAAACTATAGCAGGCTAATCATTCATTGGCAGAAAACATTTACATTTTGTGACGGCCGTCGGCTTTTGTGGTGTGTGTTCTGCACTCGACGTGCTCCTGGTTTTCTGAAAAACCGTGTGTAGCGTTATTGTTTTTTGGCCGTTCTTTCTTTAACAGGAAAAATACTCCCATTTAGAAATGGGACCAAAAACATTGTTTGATGTCCTGAATAAAATCCACTTTCTAAGGCTTTTAAGTTCAAAAACGACTAGACGTTAGTAAAATACAACTCTCGCGATTGGTACTAGCACCAAGCCCCATATGGCTCAGCCACCTTTTCTAGGGATTCGGAACAGACGCTCTCTTCTCCAGAGACCTCTCTCAAACGGCTTGTGATAGAATGCCCACAACGATTTTAAGCATGTCTGAGTTACTGTGAAGAAATGTTTTCCTCCAAAGAGATGACCGCCAGGATCAGACACGAATCCATGTGGTAGCTTTCTTCTCTTCATTGAATCAGAAGAACGAAGAAATTGAGAGCCGAGTATGTCGGTAAGAGGTTGTGTGGTAGCGGGCTACCAAAGGGGTGTGGCAAGCGGTGTCGCGCAGCATATGGCCAATGTCAGACTTTGCGGGTCCGGCGATTAATCGCTGGAGAGGAGCCTTGCACCAGCGGGATCGAACGATGTACCAGCGACTCGACACTGTTTGAAAGTGGCGGGACCCAACGTTTGAAGGAAGTCCACTTTGAAGGAACACACTGTTTGAAAGTGGCGGGACTTCCTTTAAACGTTGGGTCCCGCCACTTTCAAACAGTGTCGAGTCGCTGGTACATCGTTCGATCCGCTGGCACAATAGTTCGATTCCGCTGGTACAACAGCTCGATTCGCTGGTGCAACGCTCGTATCCAGCGATTCGCTAGCGAATCGCTCGATTCGCAAACTATGACATCGGCCTATGCGAACTGCGGCGTGAAAACGCAATGTTTTGAGTGGCACCGGAGCTCGGAGCTCTCTAGCCGACATTAGAAGTTCTGAGAACTCCCGAAAAGGGTTTGGACCATTTATCGATCACGTAATGAAAAAGGAAATTCCGGAAGAACCTGTATAAAATAATGCATGAAGATGAGCGGATTAACGGAAGTTCCTTTAGGCCGCGTTCATAGTTCGCGACTCCGGAGATTAGGATAGTACGCGACAATGAAAAACATATGTATTGACGGGAGATTAGGATAGTAGTAGATTAGGATAGTGCGCTGACAAGATTAGATATGTATTGATCTATTCGCTTGAAGTCGCCCAATCTACTACTCTCCAGCGATTTCAATCGATACGTATCCAATCTTGTCAGCGCAATCTCCTACTCTACTACTATCCTAATATCCTGTCGCCTACTATCCTAAAGTCGCGAACTATGAACGCGGCCTTCGCAAGCCAGTAATCAAATCCGAAAGTCAGCGGCGCGTTGCATTGCGTGGCGTTTGCGTCGTTGCGCCTTGCGGGTGGCGGATACGAATTGTAGCATTTACGCCTATTCTTCACAAGCAGGTTGTGGTGATTTTTCACATCGGGCAAAGGTGTGAAGTCTTTCTGTAAAATTTCCATAGTATCCAACGAGACTTTCAGGTGTCACCACTTGAGTTCAAATTCACACTTCAATTGAGTAAATGTCAGGGGTATTTCACAGGAGAGGACCGAATGTTAGGTGAGGTTTTTCAACGTATGAGCCTGGTGCGCAGCCGGTTTGCCACACTCCCTGCCTTTAGGGCTGAAGAGCCAGAAACGAAGAACGCTGTTTCAAGCATGTAAACTCCTGGAGTCCGCTCTTGCCAGATTCATAAGTTGAACCAGTTTTTCTGTCAACTTTTAGTTTATAAATTTGTTTAAGTTCACAAGTGAACTGCGTCCGGCGAGTCGTATGATACTGGATGATGGACCAATTGGACCAAGCGATTATCAGATTGAAGAACATGTGTTTCGTGAACCTGCTGGAATGGACGGTAACTTTGATGGATTACGGTAAGGACTAGTGATAATTATTAAAATTTGAAGGACATCTGAATTACAGCAGTTCTCGTGGTTTCAGCAATAAAACAATCAAAGACATGAATCGCGGTCATTTGGTGTACCATTCGGTCCTAGAATGGAGCAAAAGAGGACCCTAGTAAGAAAAATAAGCAAAAGGAACCCATAGAGATCTTGAAACTGAGGGTCTCTTTTCGTGTAAGGACCCGCGCACGGCGGAGACTCAGCGAAAATGAAGGACGAGGGAATACATCGTTGAAAGAGCACATCGTACGAGCAGAGGATCAGACACCGTGAATGTGGCGTACAGTAGGACTTGGGGAGGCACTCGCAGTGACAGGCATGAGCCTTAGCGGCTTTTATGGGCACATTTCCGTGTGATAATTGATTTTCATTGTTCAGAGAAACAAGTGGCTACCTCATTCACAGAGGGTATCGCTCTAAGGATCTCATCTCGATCTGTGCCTTTAGGTCAAGGAAAATACAGGTTTGCAATCCTTATAGAAGAAATACACCTTCGAATCAAGTGTTCTAGGCGATGATGCCAATAATGGCATTGAAGAATTTCTCACCGGCTTTGGCGCCCATGGGGTGTATGACGTTTTTTTCTGGGACAGTAATACATAAAATTGAAAATAAACTGAATTAGCTCATCGACGTTAAATTAGGACCCGCATAGAACTTTCTCGATTTGGAGACGCACGGGGAGGTCAGAGATAGGGCCGAATCTTGATTCAGCGCATATATCGTCCAGGCTGCCGCAATAATTCAACAGGCATGCACGAAAAACCGATTCCTCAATTTCCCTGTATAGTGATGTATGTCTCGAGATGTGCACCAGGATCGTAAGTCTGCAGGTGAAACCCGCTCTACATGCTGGCACCCCAACTGACGGAAATTCGAACAGCCGTTCGCGCCATCACCACTCTACTGTCCGCCTGGTGCGGAGTGTCACATTTGTGATGAAGGGCTTCGATTACTCCCTATGAGACTTTTCAGAGGAAAATTTTTCAACCTTCACTGGGGTTTTATTGTTGCGGGCTTTGGGAATTGTTAGGTCAAAAGTGCCGATGTGTTTGCAGTGTACACTTGCGTTGGGTCCCCTTCTCGTAGTATTGGCTCCAACGATACTCACGTATTAATCGACAAAGTAATAAGTTTCATTGGTGTCAGCCTCGGTTTGGCGCGACACCCGCTCCTCACATGATCAAATTTGAATGGAGCAGAGGGGGGGGGGTTATGTGCCAATCTTTGCGCTGCATCACGTGAGTTCCGTACCACCGGTTAGTTATTATATTCAAAATGAAAAACACGTATTTTGTATCAGTGTCGAGAACGCTACAGATTCATACACATTTCGAATGAAAACTCCCAAAAAGATTCAACCTTGATCTTCACGGTCACACAACTACGAATACGGTACACTCCGTGATCTACCGCCGGATGCGTCGGCCGTCAATAAAAAAGGCGCGCCTCGCTGTAGAGGGCGGCAAAGCGGGAGCCCGTGGACATTGGGAGAGCGGCAGACGCCAAGAGGGGTCGCGGCAACCAATCCGACCCGTAGATCACCAAACGAACTGAACCACCGACAACAGCCGATCACTGAAGCAGATCAAAACAGAAAAATTTCAAGTTCGCGCACAAAATTGTATGTATGCATAGTTTTCGACGCTGATTTCAGACTGTGAAAATCATTTTTGAAATTGTGGATCATACATTCATGGAATCGTGGGAAAATTGACCTGGCTGCTGTACTGTGCTAGCTAGGGCAATATCATACCTCTCAGTTGTGCGATCTCAACTCTCTCATACTTGTGTAAACTACTAAGCCGACTATGTGAGCAACAGCAACAGTTGTGGCGCCCGAAACTCGCGCACACGGCACCAGATCGGCGCCCGAACGTCAACCTCCGTACTGTGATTCAGGCACTGTACAACCCTTGGCAAACCTACGGAAAAGAAATCGAATGCGAAACAAGAGTCGCCCTGAACTTGGCCAATTGCCATTTTTCAAACTGCAAAAAACGCCGGCGACGTCGCGCGCGGTGACCTAGTTTTGGCGCGGCGGTCGCGGGGGACTCTTGACCGTCTCCGCAAATAATTTTGACCTTTTGGGGGTCGTTGTAGTGTAATAGTGCTGTGATGTCATGCGGTCGTTGTTTGTAAAATATGTTACTGGAGCACCCTACGCCCGCCCACCCCCCCCCCATTTATGTTAGTTGAAAAGCAGGCGGGCCTTCTCAATGAAGAGTCGTCAACGCAAAACGACCAATTGAAATCACAAGTAAGCTCTCAGAGCAAGGCGTCTCAACATGACAGGGGCTGCCTGATAAGTAATATTTGTGAAGGTTGAGGCAAAGAGGTCTCCGCATGTGCCACGCATGCCTTTAATTTGAGAAGACAGCTTCTGAATTGGGACCTGGACCTGAATCTCTGAATGCACACAGCTAATGGCGCCATTGCCATCAGAATTTTCGAGGGCTGTAGTAATTTTTTGGCAACTGTGATTTCACTGTTATCCAAAATTCTTTCAGGCATGGTTCAATACATTCGATGTGTCCAGTGCATGGCTCAACCCATTCAATCTGGCGTCCGGTTAGACAAGATTCACGAGAAAGTCGAGCCATTTTTCGAGAGCGGATATCGATCCGACTGTCCCGTGAGTAAATTCCTAGCGACATCAGTCATCCTAGGGGCCAAAAATGGCACTATTTCAGGTTCATAGACCCCCACCAAGTGTGTGCTCAGTACATTCGGCAAGTGTCCACACAGCAATCCTGAATGAAGAAGATGTGGTTGTAGTACCAGCAGAACCACCTCCAGAACCAGAAGCACCGCATGAACCACCTCATGAAGCACCGCCTGAAGCACCACAGTACGAGGAACCGCTGAGACCTCCTACACCGGCACCAGAATTAGTGCAACGTGTGATAGAGCCGGAGCCACCTGAGCAATCCCCACTTCATGGATCAAGGTGCGATTTGGGAAGTACACACGGGGACGCGACTAATTGCTGTGGTTTTATAGGCGTTCAAGTCTTGGGAGGCGATCCGCCTCAAGACACAGCCGCAGTCGCAGTCGCAGTCGCAGCCGTTCCCTTAGTAGAAGGCCATCTCTGCGTGGCTCACAGTATTCAGTTCGAACAGGCAGCAGACGCTCTTCTTCGTCGTACTCGACAGGAATATGGTATGGAAATTATTAGACTTTTCAGAAAAATCGCTTGAACTTTCAGGCTGCAGCTCTAAAGAGATAGTGAAGTTGCTCTGAAACCTGTCCAGAGAAAAATTCCTTGACTCAAAGCAACAACTCCGGATCAAATTGATGGGGCAGCAGTCGCGAATGTGTGGATGCCGAGTTGACTGAAAATGAAAAAAAACGAAGGGGAAGCCCCTCTCTTTCGTTTCGGCATTAGAATAGGGCGTGTCCGGACGAGTTTTCTGGAATTGCTGACTCTGTGGCTCCACTGACCGTCATGTATTCGAATTAGCTGCGACGCAGCAATCCATGTCGCGTGTCAGAGGATGTGCGTGAGATATCTCGTCCATTTTCTCACAGATGCTCAGATTTGCTCAACA